GCCCAGCTCTCCAGCCTGTCCAGGTCCCTCTGAATGGCAGCACAGCCTTCTGGTGTGTCAGCCACTCCCCCCAGTTTAGTATCATCAGCAAACTTGCTGAGGGGGCACTCTGTCCCTTCATCCAGGTCATTGATGAATACATTGAACAAGACTGGACCCAGGACTGACCCCTGGGGGACACCACTAGCCACAGGCCTCCAACTAGACTCTGCGCCACTGACCACAACCCTCTGAGCTCTGCCATCCAGCCAGGTCTCAATCCACCTCACTGTCCACTCCTCCAGCCCACACTTCCTGAGCTTGCCTAGGAGGATGTGATGGGAGACAGTGTCAAAAGCCTTGCTGAAGTCCAGGGAGACAACATCCACTGCTCTGCCCTCATCTCCCTAGCCAGTCCTTCCATCATAGAAGGCTATCAGATTGGTCAAGCATGATTTCCCCTTGGTGAATCCATGCTGACTACTCCTGATCACCTTCTTGTCCTCCATATGCTTAGTGATGACCTCCAGGATGAGCTGTTCCATCACCAGATGGAGGTGAGGCTGACAGGCCTGTAGTTTCCTGGCTCCTCCTGTCCTGGCAAAAGTTTTGTCACCTTGAGCTCCTTGAGAGGCAAGAGGTCAGCATGACATGGGCTTAGCAGTATGCTGCATACCTTCTTTTCTAGGCTTAGAGCCAAATGTTGTCCTTCTGGCTCTGGCAGCTCTCAAGGAATTTGAGTTGCTTGAGTTGGTTTTCTTAGCTACTCCAAAGTTCAGAAAGGCATTATGTTCTCATGTGTATCAACCTCCAATTTACTTGAAATTACAGCAACAAAAAAAGTGGCTGGGGATGGCAGGCAGGTAGAGGGAGAGCAACATCGGGTGCTAAAGCATGGATATGCATGCTCCTGTCTGCCACAGAGCAGTAAGCTCTGGAAGAAAGGTAGAGAAGAAGGGCTGTGGGGGCTTTAAATACCAACATGCTCTCTTCAAAGCCTGAATTCCCTTCTTTCAGACCATAAAGCTAATAAGTAAGACATCAAATTTAATTTTCATGTTCATCTCCCTCTTTAGGTATTTTCTTCCCTTATTCCTGTAACCTACGTTATTCTTCCTGTGGCTGTAAAAGTTATAAGAATTAAAATGTAATTTTGCCCTCTTTATAATTTGCACAAATTAAAAATCTTGTTGAAACTGAAGCATTTTAACTATGTTTAATGCCTAATACCATTGGCATATAATCAGAAACCAGTATTACAGTCCTACTTCTTACTGATATTACAGTCAGTGGGGAATTCTGGTTCATAATCTAGTGCTGTAATCCAAGGAAAATGAGATGTGCAGCAAGGAAAGGTGATTTTCTTACTACAGCTAAAAATACCTGGTAGTTCCATTTACACTTGTCTGTTGCTTTGTGCAGCTAATCACTGACTTTGCTAAGAACTTGCTATTGCTTTCCGTTTTGCAAAAGTTTTTTTTTTTTGCATTTTTTTATTTAAAAAATAAGAAAAAAAAATCAAAACCAGAATCAAGAACAGCATCCTTAAAAGAATGGAGAAACTTTTCCTTGTGGCATTTATTACTTTCTCTGCTCCCCAGCTCCGATTGTGTATTTCCATGAGAAAAAAAATGTTCAAGTACAAAAGAGTAATAGGAACATTTGAGGAAAGAGGAAAACTGGGAAAAAGCCCAAAGCTACTACATTTAGAATAGAATACTGCCCCATGGCTTTTGTTATACTGAAAGCAGCTGTCTTTCTGCTTTAGTCTATAGCCATTCCTGTAGACTGTTTCCTTTTGTGGTTCTTAAGGAATCATTCTGTTCATGTCACAGGCACATCTCTATAGATGTTATTGGAGATGTCAAAGAAAATCTCCAGATGTTTTGCAGTAAATTTATGAGACCAGTTCAATTTATCAAATGTATTCATAAGTCATAAGTCAAGGGGCTTGAGATTTGGGTTGATTCCACTGAATAAACTTACCTAGCCTCTATGTACCAACTAGATGCTCCTTTCGAGACAAAAATAATAGAGCAAATTAACCATGTGAAAGATGTCAAGCTAAACCCAGGCCTGTGAGAGCAGATGGTGCCATATTTAAAACTATGTGTACATGATGCAAATAAAAATAGAAGCTGAACTTACCAATTCTATGAAATGTTTTAGATAAATATAACCCAAACCCCAAAACGTGACTTATAATAGCAGTTTGTGAAGTAGTTGGTATTTTTGAAAGTGTTTCTGCTAGTCCTTATTTTACCCAAAACAGAAGACATTGTTCTGGCACTATCAGAGCTGTAACATTAAACTTGCCTGTAGCCAGGGTTGTGGGCCAGAAACATCCTAACTGAAAGGCTACTGAACTGTACCAAATCCTTGTCAGCTCTGTAACTCTTCCTATTCTTAACCATAATCCTTGGTCAAACTGATGGAAATCTGAACAAGGCCATGTAGGCTAAATAAATTCTAGTCTAAGAGATGGCAGCAAATACATGAAAATACAGATACGTTTCCACATTTATTATCAAGTCATCTGAAGCAACCATTGTTAAGTGGTAGAGTAAGGCTAAGCAGTAACTAGTAATCCCTTTTGACTAGTCACACAACAATGTTCTGAAGCTGGAAGATCAGGCCAGGGAAGCACGTGTGTGTGTATAATATATATATATAATGTATGTGTATGCACTTTTTTATACATACACATACACGTGTGTGCATATATATGTATATATGAAACAAGGACTACTGTCTTTCCTTTAAAAAAAAATAAAATCCTAGATCACAGTAGCTTTCCCATGGTGGTTTTCATAAAAGAAAAGTGACATCAGTGTTCTTACAACCTTGGATTCAGAACAGATTTACACTAAGAGGAAAAGATGGTATCTTGCTGAGCACATAAGGGTAACTACTTTTACCTTTAAAGCCCACAGAACATTATTAGTCTTTTATTTCAAAGTGCTCTGGGCTACCTTGTACATGAAAGGCACTGTAACATTTTTCACATTCTATTCTATAATTACCTGGGAATGTGCATCACCATTTGAGTATAGAAATTCCTCAAAATGAGCTTCTTTCAGATTTGTATGGATGATTTAGGTTGCAAGGTGGTCCCAAGGAATAAATAGTGTCTTTCCTAAAGACTTCATGGACCATTTGAGCACTACGGTTCTCACAGAATAACTGTGCTTTTTAAGGAGGAACATGAATAATTGGAGCAGTGAAGCGCTTTGATGGGTGTCACGGGAGGCCGGGGAGGGGCGGCTGAGCCGACCACAGAGCACCCTCACGCTCTGGTCCCCACAGCGCCCCACGCTGCAAGAAAGGCTCGGGTGGCGGTATAGGTGTCCCTGTCACTTATGACTGGGTTCTCAATTAACGGCCAGAAGCAGATAACAAAG